AAATAAAATGAATACATTTTAACTAATAAAAGGAAATAAAACGAAAATTGAGTGCACAGGGAAAAATAATACGGGATGATACAAAGCCGTATTTGAATATGGTTAGGGAACGAACTGGACAGGAATTAACATTTTTTTTTTTTTACTTATGCTTCCCTCAAAACATTTCTTAGTGGGTATCCTAAAAAAAATCCTTTTAAATAATTAAAAAGAGAACAAGAAATTCTGCAAAATGGAATCTGTTTTTATTTACAGGATGGGAGACTCAGCTAGCCCTGGAATACTGTCCAGTAGGACAATGACTCCAAGCACACAAATATGGATTAAATCCAAAGAGAGGCAGGAGGAGCATCTACATCCTAGACTGACCAAAGAAGGACAACTATATAAAATGCACTAAAGTTACTAACGACCCAACTGTTCTTTTACTGAAATCAATGTTAGAATTAACACTGACATCCATGGTACAGAATCTGCCCCCAAATTAGAGTGTCTGTATTAGATTTTTTTTCCCCAAGACTACCTCTTTTCTACCTTGGAGAGCTCAACTACAGTAGAGTCTCCCTTACTTATCTTTGGCATTTTTTCCTCTTTGTCTCTCCACCCTTCCCATTGTTTTCCTAAATTCCACCTATTTACATTCTCACTGACATCCTGTCACACTTTTAGCTTCTTTCATGCCTTTGAGATCTCATAACAGCAGAGACTCCCTATGCCTGACTGAGCCCAAAAGCCTGCAAAGAGCTTTTTCCCAATGACTCAGTTGATCTAATAAAAGATATTACATCTACTCAAAGAAGCTTGCCTCCCTAAACTAGAATTAACATTAAACAGTCTGTGTGGCTTGCATTTGCATACATCCAGTAAAACTGGCACGCAGAGAGATGTTTAAATGCCTCACCTGAACTCTGCAAGTATCTGCTCTCAGCAGACTGTACAGGAGCTAGTCTTTCCTATCACTTGTTTGTTTACAGTGAAAAACAGAAATGATATCCATGGGAAACATTCTCCTTTATCTGTCTACTGTACAGGGCAGACAAAACCAGGGCAGCATGAAGAAACACCACTCATACCAAACTTCCAAATATGGATGGCTTTATTCATTGCCCCAAACTCCACAGTCCAGAATCCTATCAGCTCTGAATGAGCTGCACGAAGGTGGATGTATTTATTGACCATTTCCACAAACTCTTTCATCTTCGCTGGTTTAACATCATAGGTACGTATTTCATAGAACGTGGCATTATTTTGCCTGGGCCCTGTAGCAAGAGATGCAAATACCTAAGGAAGAAAGTTAAATAAAATAATTGAAGCTGATATTTTGACTCATAAAACCGCCTCCATTTTAGACTTTAATGCACAATTATAAGGAGAAACTGGCAGTGCCATCTAGCATATATAGGTTGCAAAATACCTCCCACTCCCAACCTGAGGTTGCCAAGTAAAGCAGAAAGAGCCACAAAGAGCACTGGCAACATCTGAGCTGCCAGAGCAACTTATCAACCCCCAGGCCAAGCACGACACCCAAGCAACCGACTCCACTGGGAGCCATGTTCCCTCAGCACACACTGCTGTTATTTTACTGTACCCAGTGATACACAAGTCTCACAGATTATTAATCTGATACAGCAACTGAACAATAATTCATCACCAAGTGATGCCCAAGGTTGTAACGCAGCGCCCATTCCTGAAAATCCTAGCTCACATCATCAGTCTCCCATGGACTTCAAAACAAGTTAGTGTTTGCAAGTTATAGCCATTAATCTAAAAGAAGCAACTCTGTTAAATCCGAATCCTAAATCTTAGGAGGTGGGTAATGTGGCTCTCTCTTTTCATCCTACCCCCTTGATTATTGGCAGAACAGGACTGGGGCCCGCAACTACTGCTTGTATAGACAAAAAATTCAATATACTGATTATTACTGTATTTTCTCACATATAAACCATACCTTTCCCCAAAAGCCATCTGGGGAAAATTGGGGTGCACATTATGTGAGGAAAAAGGACCCGAATGGATCCAGAAATGTAGTGGGGAAGGGAGTAGGAGCAGAGCAGTAGCAGCATTAAATGCCACAGCTCAGACAGCCATGGAACCTGTGTGCAGGACTAAGGTGCTGCCACTGACCTAGATCAAAGATTTTTTTCCTTCAGCCTCCTCTTCAAAAAAATCATAGGTGGATTAGTATATACTGTATACTATACTATAGTATAGGTGGATACCATATACAGAGGTGTGCTACATGTGAAAAATATGGTACTCTTGAAACAAAAAGTGGTTCAAAACTGAATTCACAATATGGGGGAAATTACTTCCATACAAAAATAGCGCTTGCTTAAACAACCATATAAATCAAACCAATTTCAATTATGCTCAGTAATACAGCTTCTACTTAGATTTATAATTTCATCAAAGCATCAATTTGAATATTTTTTATTTACTTGGGTGTATCAAAATGTGCTCATTTAACCTTTTCTTCTTTACCTTTTAGATTGCAAGTTAATTTAACACTACTGCTAGCTAAATATCTTTCCCTGACAAATAAATGCTTTCACAACACATTTACTCACTTAATTTTAAAACAATATTGATATTTAAATATTACTTAGCAGAACAAATTTAATCACTGGATGAAAAGACCTGCTTCCACCTAGCACACTCTTCCTGAATTTTGTACCCCAAACACTTTCTGATAGCCTACCAAGGGCTCCCTTCAAGGTGATTTGCCTATTTCACATTAATGCAAACATGTCACTAACCCCAGAATTTTTTTTTAAACTCCTTGAATAAATGAACAGAAGTTACTTTTTGCAATCTGAGTTTCACCAGGGAAAATGATCTGTAGTTAAATCTCACCTTAAATTCAAAGGGAAGTGGCTGCAGGATGTTCTGTGTGATTTAATTGGAACCAGTGGTATGCTACCTAGCAAGTACACCACATAAAATAACGTACTTTCTCTCATATAACTTGCCCCAAGATATTAGGCACGTCCTGATTTTGAAAAGGCAGCACGAAGACACAAGCTCTTACCTTCAGTAAGTATCTCAATACCAGCAACTAGGGAGCCTATCCCCCTGGACTTCTGCAGAACAGGGGGTGGGATGCAAAGGATCTTGAAGGTCTGGATTTGGGGAGTTGGGGCAGGTGATGGAGTAGCTGGGGGCTCCTGGGAGTTGCCTCCCAGCAGCCTTGGATTTGTGCAGAATAGGACTGTGCTCCTGAGCCGGCGGCCAGCCCTGCACACTGGACAAGGCCTGCAACCCAACCTGCTCACCGCCCCCTCTGGCACGATGGGTCTGGGGCTGCAGGTCGACTCGGACGCAGCATGCAGGATCTGAAGCAGCGCATGGGTCCAGCCATGGCCCAACCAAGCCTGATCTGGTGCGCTGGGTCCATCCCTGTGTGCCAGGTCCTGGGCCACGATGGATGGGGCCCATGAACCAACCCTGCATGCAGGCCCAATCTTGTGTGCAGGGCCCTGGCACTCAGCTGGGGGCGTGGTGGCAGCATGCCCTGCTGCGGCTCCCGGCACAAATTTGCAGACCCACAGGGAGCCCTATTTCTTGCATACAGCACCTCCCCCTCCAATTTCTATCAGCTTCTTGTGTTGCAAGGGAAAGATCTGGGTGACAGGTGAGGAAATAAACTGCGAGTCAATGCTAGAGCTGAATTTCTCGGTGAAACTTTGGGATACCACACGATGGAGATACCCCGCTTTCCCTTTCAGACTGTCAGGTTCGTCTGAGGTCTCCCACACACATCTGTAACCCGGAGCAGCCACGATGGGCGGTGTGTGGCACCATTACCCGGGCGACAGCTGACTTCAAAGGGACAAGCCCCCCCCGGAACCAGCACCGCCGCCTGGGGGCGACTCCGCCCGCCCAGGGGCGCTGCGGAGGCGGGGCCGCTGCTTGTTTCCAACGGGAAACGCAGAGGAGCCGACAGGGAGGGGGAAGGCCGCCCCTGCCCTACCGACCCGCCGCGCAGCCCCGGGGCGGCTCC